ATCTACTTCTGTTAATTAATGAGGTAAAAAAATAGACAAATAAGTGCTGCGCGATTGGAACGAGTATCAATAACAAGGACTTCGTCTCTTTCCTTCACGATACAACAGTGTTTTGCATTAAGGAAGGTGGATAATCGCAGGCAGTGGTCTCGGGCTGAACGAACGGGAAAAAAACGAGATCGGCTCATTCTTATTCATTAAAATGAATCCATAACTGCAATAGCTTAGAGTATGTCTTCGGTAGTCTACCGTAAGTATTTCTATCTGCCACAGCTTCATCAATCCCAGGTTTACCGATCATTGCTGGTGTGTAACTTCAACTATTGGAGGATATGATGTTGGAAATTATGCAAAGCCAAGATAATTACCCATTCCTATTACGCGACAGCGCTTGACCTTATAAGACAAAAATCACTATGGAAAACACAGCCAGGAGCCTTTCTGTCGTCCATTATACTTAGTAGATATCGCTATCACAAAAAAATTACCAAATAATTGTTCAAATCTTAACACGCTGCAGGAATTATTTTTTGAGACTTTTTTAAATTCTCATAACCCAGACTTTTAGAGAAAATAAGTAAATTACTATCAAAATGGGAGAAGATCATCGATGGTGGCATATAGTTCGATTGAAGATAAAATAATTATTACGGCGAAATAATAAGCGTTTGCCACAGGAAGCTTGTTGGACGTCCTTAAACCGCATGTATGATCCCATCCCAGTAACTATGCTATTGAATAAACGAATACGGGTTCAGTAAAGAAAAGGATCAATGACCAATGCTTGACATCGATATATACTTGCTGATGCTATGCGTAAGAAGTCGGGAAAAAGGTAGAACAAAAAGGGCACTTTGGCGATTACGGTGAGGTGCTAATCCACACCATAGCGCATCTTCAAGTGAGCCTGGTATATACGTGTTATGAGATGGGTCTTCCCGCAGATACTATTCGCAGCTACAGAAATAGATCGTCAGACGTAATCAGAGGGTATCAAATAAAAAAAAATATTAAGATGTGGAAATTGGAACTACATTGTGCTGTCTACCACTTAAGCTTTGTACGGATTGCGATGTTATATACATGTATATATATATATATAACGTTGCAGGCACGTAACGATCATGGTTTATTTTTGTTGTGAGATCCTTATTTACGTTTGTTGCGATGACTGCCAATTATATTGTACGCATGTGGAAATTTGCCTCTTTCCTACTTATATGTATATGTAGCTTCCAATTCAGTTTTACACGTACAAAAACATGGAGTTTGAGTCCGTTTGAACCTGTTCAACGGGGCGGAAAAGTCCGAAAGGGATTTTACGGCGTTCCCCTACTTAATATACAATCTAGATTTTTTAGTATTGAAATAGTTGCTTCCTTGGAAGACGAAAACAATTTCCACGAATAAGATTTACTAACCTATGAATTTTACTTGGACCGTTTATATTGGTATCTACCTGATCAGTTGTTGTTGTAATCGTCGTCACGGTCGTTGTTGTACTCGTATGGTCTCTTTGAGAGAATCGCTTTCTTTTTTAAGGTGTTTTTAAGAATTTAAACAACGCTGAAACGATGCATATAT